CTTATAAATAAGTAGAAATTACTCTAATCTGGGCATGACTATAAAAAAGATTGCTAAACTTTCTGAAGGGAAGATAAAGTTCATGTCCAGAATAAGGTCACTATTTACCACTCAGCCATTCTAGATCTTTATCTTTCTGTAACTGCAGTCTTATTTTCTAGTAACGTGCATAACCATCACTGAGTCTTGATACAGCTAAGAGTATCCACTGATCCAGACCTCAGTATTGATCTCTGGGGTACGTATTGGACACCTCGCTAGTTGCATGAGTGTCCGTTCAGGAAATTTTTACTTTGTAGTTTCCTATTCTGGGATGCATCTCCCCAAAATCAAAAATTAGTCCGAAGAATACGAGATATTCCCTATCCCATAACATTTAAAATCTAACTACAAGTTGAAGGCAATAGCCAATCACAGGAATTGCATTTTCAAATGCGTGTTACATCTGAAAACACCAAGGTGCATCTCTTTTTAAGCTGTATCTATTTCTTTTGCAAAGCAAAAACTACATATTTTCCTTCCAAAGCTGTTTCTAGCTTTTGGTGAATAGCACGTACAACACTGAAGGCAAGTGTTTGGAGTGACAGTGAGTGGTGGTTATGAGCAAACTGAGCTAAGATGGCAGTAATTGGGACTGCACTTGCCAAGAGGAGGAAACCTGTAATGGAGAGAGAATTACACTTGTTCGAGACCAATTCAGACACACGACGAGTAAAGCACTGCTAGTGTGAGAGCCCTCTGGAGTGAACCACCAGGGCTCAGGTCAAATGTCAGGTGGGTAAACAGCAGTTCATTTATGACCACAGTAGGTTCAAGGGATCAAACCTTCTAAAAATCCTTCCATCTGAGTTTGTTTCCTCTTCCCTTCTAATTCTGGCCTGATGGTTACCTGGAGAGCAGCTAAAGTAAAATTGATGCCTACACACTGAAAGCTTGGCATCTCGACTCGCCTGCAGCTGCAAGTACTAATCGCAGTTTCCAGGGGTTTGTCAGAAAGATTAGAATTCAAGTGGTAGGACCGAGGGAACAAAATAGAACTGAACCCAGTGTCAGAGTCTGGATGTCTCCCCTGTCTTCCACTATATTTTGCTGCAAAGGGTTTTATATCCTGTGAACATCACCACGTGCCACAAATTGGCAATTCTCTCTCTGACATGGATTCCTCTCCTGTCAAAGTATGCTCCTTCTACAAAGCAATCCACATCCAAGAAGTATACAAGCCTGTGATGTTCAGAGAGGGCACTGCTGAGTCATGTTTTAAGTTACATTTTTAAATAACGCTATCTTATTTGCGTATATAATTCAACAAAATTAAACTTTTAAGGAGCCAAAAAAGACCTGACTCTACAATCTATCAGGACTTGGGCATAAAGATAGTTTACTGCAAGGCAAAAAGGCAAGAGTTTTACTGTACATCAGCTGCCCTGCAGGTAATTGTTCCTGTAAACGGAACACGCTCCTGGTAGTTAGTATATTCAGGAAAAGGGCGAAGCTAATACATTCTAGTTTGTTGTCAGTGATCTACCCCCATGTGAAATACTGTGTCCAGTACTGATCCTGGAAAAGACTCTGATGAAAAGAGCAAAACAAACAGAAATAGGGGGTGTCTGTTGACATGTGGGACATCCGCTCCGACGCGCTGTAATTACGGTGCATCAGAGCAGACTAGATCCATTGAGTCTGCTGGAGCGTGCTAATCGGCATGCTCCAGCAGCCTCAGCATCTCGTGTATTCACTGTCCCTGCACTTCAAACTGGAGGCAAGAGTACATTAACTAAAGCTTGTTGAACGAGCTTTAGTTAAAACAACCCTGCTGCTGTTTTGAAGTGTTGGATGCTGAATACCTGAGATGCTGTGGGCACTTTAATTAGAGCGGATCCCGAGAGCTGCTCTAATTAAAGCACCCCTTCACCTTCAGAGCACGTGTAAAGGTGCCCAGGCACTCAATGGGAAAAGGGCATGTTATTAATATCTAAAATCTTTTCCAGAGTGTGAAATCTTTCAACATCTTCATCAGTAATCATTAACGATGTGGATTCGGGTGTATGATGCGGACTAGCAAAGTTCACAAATGACACTCAGCTCTGGGGGAAGGTGGTCACACTGGAAGACAGGCTGGGGATACAGGCCAACCTGGATATGCTCGCAAGGTGGGCAGACCAAAACCTGATGGCATTCAACGTAGAGAAGTGCAGGGTGCTCCACCTAGGGAGGAAAAACCAGCATTATACGTATAGGCTTGGCAGTGCTTCACTCGCTAGCACCACGGCCTAAAGAGACTTGAGGGTCTTGATTGACCACAAGATGAACATGAGCCACCAATGCAATGCCGTGGCTGGCAAGGCAAACCAAACCCTGTTATGCATCCACTGATGCATCTCAAGCAAAATCTGGGTTGTCATCCTCCCACTCTACTTGGCCTTAGTGGGGCCACAGCTGGAGTTCTGCGTCCAGGTTTGGGCCCCCCTCTTCAGGAGGAACGTGGATAAGCTTGAGAGAGTCCAAAGGAGAGCCACCCACGTGATCAAAGGCCAAGAGAGCAAGCCTTACAAGGAGAGGCTGAGGGATACAGGACTCTTCAGCCGGAGAAGTGAAGGCTCAGGAGTGACTTGGTGGTAGTCAAGAAGTATATAAGGGGGATGCATCAGGAACTGGGAGAAGAGTTGTTCACCAGGGCTCCTCAAGGGATAACAAGGTCTAACAGCCACAAACTCCTGGAAGGCCAGTTTAGACTGGACCTAAGGAAAAACTGCTTTACAGTCTGGGTGTCCAGGGTCTGGAAGAGACTCCCCCTGAGGTGGTGCAAGCACCTACTTGATTCATTTAAAAGATATTTGTATATTTATCTTGCTGGGATTGTTTGATCCCAACAGACTTCCTGCTTCTGGCAGGGAAGCTGGACTCAATGACCTCATGAGGTCCCTTCCAGCCCCTAATGTCTATGAAGTCCAAGTCATTCTTATTCCCTTTGTCAAACTGCCATTTCAAAAACTGGCTTTGAAGTTCCTCTAGCAATGACCAACCTAATGGAAAGGTGCTTTGTGCCCAAAAGCTTGTCTAACATCTCTCCCAACTGTACAGTTGATCCAATAAAAGACAGCATAAAAAAAAAATCTTGCTTCTCAACTATTTCTTGGACCATCACAGCTACAGCAACACTCCAACCCTACTAAAGGATTTTAGCTTTTGTCCAGTTTGTCTGCTGTTCAAAAAGAAGCCATACTTGTAACACTATTTTTGACAGAAGTATTTCCATGATCTTTTAAAATAATATATTCACTTGAGAGTTTCTTTAAAACCAGGGTAGATAAAAATCGATGATTTTTTTTTTAAATCCAAAAAATTAGATTTTTTTAATCAGATTTTTTTTTATTTAATCTTTTTTAGTTTTTGTTAAGATGCTTTAAAAAAAAACTATATAAAGATGGTTTTAATTTATGATATGTTAAAGCTCAAAGATATCGTCACGGAATAGGGATTATAACTTCTAATTACATGAATGTATTGTTTCAAATAGTATATAACCTTTTAGAAAAGTTTTATAAATAGGTCACAACAGGCCATGGACTATATTAGAGGTCCAACCTTAGGGGGTTCCCAGGTGCTCCTCTATAGATTAGTAAAGATTAAAGAAAACCACTCTACCCAGTGAGACTCGGTGCTCAGTCCAGAAGATCCCATTAAGCATCTCTGTGATTGCTGAGTTTCAGTTCTCAAACTGTGGATTTGTGTCTCCAGAGATAACATCCTTGTTAACAGCAGTATATGAAGATGGGAGATAACAGACCTGATTACCTACCCATCAGCCCTGTTGTCTCTCTGCAAGTATTTTAAGTTTCTTGTGTTGACCTGGCTGAAATAATCTATTTAATTTTTGTTACAAACACATTTCACATTTATAACTGAAATAGTTAAAAATGCAAAAATACCTGTGGTTGTTTTGTTAAAATAAAATATGTTTGTAAATATACATGTTTGTTGTTGAAGAAAAATAGCCAAAATACATACGTTTGTTTTAGTTAAAACAATGCCTGTTGGTGGTGGTGATGGTTGTTGTTGTCCACCTAATACAGTGTGGCAAAAATATCTCCCATATATCCATGATTAATCTAGTAAATTGGAAATAGTTCACCTCCCAATGACTTTACAAGTATCTGCTTCAATTACCTTTAGTAAATAAAACAACCGAATCATAATTTAGTTCTCTGATGTAGCTGCAAATTTAATCTGAAAAAATACCAAATTAAGTCACGGCTTTAAAATGTATAGTGTACCTTCTAATAATGAAACCTACATCTATGTCTGAGGTGTGAATAATATGTGCTAAGGTGTCGCACTCCGAGTCGGCATCATGAATATGGCTCCGCCCCACGGCCGGGGTCCCCCGCAACTCATCTGCCACGACTTGATGGTATATGTAAGAGGGGTTCTGTGGTGTTTTCTTCCCCAGAGACAGGCGTACTCATGGGTGCGCTGCAGTGTTCCTCGGGGCTGCACCTCCCCTACACCCCGTCCACTCACCAACCACTTGGGTATTCTGGTCTTCATCCCAACAATCTGTCAGCCCCCTTGACAGTGGGGTGCGGTGTTGACTATAATAATCCAGTCTGATACCCAGATGAATATTACACCTAGAGCTTCAGACCTTAGCCTCGGGGCCCTCGCCAGCAGTGCCAGGCGTCCTCCCCGAGAGGAGTGCCTGCTTGGATCTCCTTATTGCTGAGGGACTGGGAACTGCTTGTCCCCCACCTTAGTGCCAGCCACTGCTCCCGCTCCTCTGCCACGAGGCAGTGTCTGCGGAGCCACTGTTGCCAGCGCACGGAGCCTCTCTCCATCCAGCGTGCTCCCAGCTGGCTTCCGCCCCTCTGCCGGCTTCCAGCGGGGTTTAAAAATTGCCCGCAGTGGCGACTCCAGCTGCTGCCAACCTGCCCAGGAAGCAGACACTTGAAGAGCCGGCAAAACACAGCTCCTGTTCCACCCCCACCCGCTCAGGAGGTGAGTATCCCCAGGTGCAGGTGGCTCTCCTTTCCCTTTCAGGAATGCCGGGTTTTGCCCCCGGCATTTCTGAGGCCTGTGGGGGTCTCTCGCCACCGCATAAGGTTAAATAAAACAGAATGCACTTTTTGCAGAAAACAGTGATTAATTCAAGGCTTCCTGACCAGTGATTTAAGTCAATTTAATTTAAATCAAATCCACCCTGCTTAAAACAACTATATTTTTCTTCAGTTTCTGCAACACATTGCAGCATATAGTGCAAGAGAGCTAGCAGTGACATGGGCTGAATCTATGAACCTGCAAACACATGCATAATTTTACTTATTCAAACTACCGTGAAAGCCTTCAGCCCTACCCTGGTGAAGCATATACATAAATGTTTAAAGAAACAAGAACTATATTGCCAACCCCAAGCATTAAAAAATCAGGCTAGGCCTCCCAAATCATAAGGTCATCTTAAAAAGCATTATTTTGTTATGTATCTTTCAGCTTTAGATTTGTGCTTTCAGTATTTGTGCCTTTAGGATTTGCCTTTTTCAACTTCTGTCTACAACCAGAAAGACTAAAAACTTTTATAGTGGAAAATGATTCTCACAATTTCATAAAAATACCAAATACAGTATGAATTGGCAATGCTATTAATTATATTAATACTTCACTTGCATGTAGCTTTTCTAATCAAGTTGCCTGAGCTAAGAAAAATCCATAAAGGAAACAGCACAAAAGTAAATGGCACATTTGATTTTTAAACTTTAATTTCAGTTTAATAATCTAAGAGATGAGTTACCAAAGCAGAGGCCATGAAGCACTTCCTTGTTTTTTGAAGTGTGTAAAGAGCTGGCAGGTCATAATCCTGGCCCTTCTCTGTTCCTGGGTATTGAAGGAAGCTACAGATTTGCCGTTCTCCTAGTGCTTTTTTCATGCAAGTAAATATTCTTGTCATGGATCTGTTGTATGATTGTGGCAGGTCTGTGAGACAAGCTGTGAAGATGGAGTCTGCAATATGAAAATGGTTGAAAACTTCTTTAGCTAAAATATTTTTTATATAAATAGCAGAAACAGAACTTTTAAGATCCCATCTTTTCACATGGATAATACATCAGACTTGTCCTCCTCCTTCCCCCAAGCCTGTTGTTTTTTTCATTGCTATCACTGGGCTCCTGCAGCTCTTCTCAAACGTGGAAAGGAGCCAACCAATGCCCAAAACCAGTAATCGTCTTAAAGGGCCTCTCATCTCTGCTGGAAGCAGATGAGTCTGTTGGCGGCTAAGAAGGCTTGTACGACAAGAAGGCTTGTGACTTCTGTATAGTTCATTGGACTGGGTCCCACCAGAGTCAACATCATGACAAGCCAGGGTGACCCCACAGCTCAGCACTGCTCTGTGTGCGTGTGTGCACGCGTGCTCCCAACAAAGGAGCCACGTGCTAATTAGCCCCCTACTCACAACGAACTGGGTGTTCTTGTCATGAGTCCTGGGATCCTCTAAAAATGTATATGCAGATAAGGCACAGGGCACCCTGGTCTTGTTTCAACCTCATGAAGAGTGGGGCCATGCTAATCATATGCCACAGACTGACGGGGATTCTTGGTGAGCTGTTTGGGGCCCTGTTTGGTGATGTTTGCCAGGCGTTTAAGGCTGGTGAAAAAATAGGCATCATTGGAAAGAGGAAAGAAACGTGCAGCCCAGCTGGGGGAGTGAAGAAGTAAAAATGTAAGAAATGTAGTAGCTCATCGTGACTTGTAAAATAGTCATCATTGAGAGGGACTGTGCTTAATGGGCACTACCATATATCTAATTCAGATTACTTGCACTAACCTATCTTTGGAGGTTCCTATCTTGGCCTTTTGGCTAAGATCAACCATAGCACCATGGAGGTGTCAGGGCTGGCTCTGGCCCTTCTGGTGCTGACCTAGTATTGCAGTACCTCCAGGCCCAGTGCCAGTTCCCTGGGGAGGGAACACCTACCTGTGTGTTTTGGGGGTTGTTTTGTAAGGACAAAAAGCCCCAAACTTATAAACAGTTCTCCTCAGCATGTTTGCCCAATGTGGGTCATGTGTTTTATAGTCGTGCTCAGTGTTGGCTGCTTTTAGTCAGCTTCATAGTTGGTTTCCATTGCTGACCACATGTTGCTTTTGGCAGTTTAATGATAGACAGTGTGTTTAGTGAGCTCTCCTTGTTGTTGTCATCATCAGCAATCCCTCATGGTCAAGGATAATCACTGCCGCAGGTCAAGTAAAGGGTAGCAAATGAGTCCATTGATGGCTAAGAAGGCCGGTCCTAGAGCCACAGACTCTCTGGCAGTCTCCACAGGTGGTGGTTAAAGGGAGGATCGGACTGTGGATTTCACGGTCTTGTTTCCTTTCCTTCCGTTTCTGTCATATTTCTGTGTCCAGGGCAAGACGGTTTTCCTCAAAGTAAGATGTACCTTCTTTCACAAGTTGTCAGCATGAAGCCCTGTCCTGGGTTAGTTTTTCCCAATTGGTGATGTCAATGCCAAACTTCTTTATGTTCGCCTTGAGGGTGTCTTTGAAGTGTTTCCTCTGGCCCCTGCATGTCCTTTGTCCTTGGCTGAGTTGGGAGTATTAGTAGGTGTTCTGGTAAACGTACATCAGGCATGCACTCACAATGCCCTGTCCACCGGAGTTGATGTTGAATAATCAGTGCTCCCATACTGGTGGTATTAGCATCGGTGAGGACGCTGGCATTTTGCAATGACCCTCCCGCAAAGGATCTTCCACAGGTAGCACTGGTGAAGGTGTTCCAGGCTTTTCAGGTGGTCCCTGTAGGTCACCCAAGCTTCACAGCCTTAAAAAAGAGTTGAGGTTACCACAGCCTTATATAATAGGAGCTTTGCTCAAGTCCTGATGTCATGATCATTGAACACATGATGATACAGTCTTCTGAAGGCAGAGCCGGCACATCAGATCCTATACGGATCTCCTTGTCGACGTTGGCCTTCTTTGAGAGATGGCTGCAAAGTGTCCAACGCTCTCCAGCTCCTGTCCATCAATGAGGATCTTTGCCAGGGGAGTTGATTAGTTTGGATAAACAGTGTATTCAATGAGATTTCCTTGTATGTGATTATAAGATGATGGGCTTTTTTCCCCGTGCCAGTTGAGGGGAAAAAACCTCATCTCATATTTGAGTAAATATGGTATTTCCTATTTTAAATACAGGAGAATAGCTCAGGTTTCAGTTAATATAGGGCAGTCACTATTTCAGCAAAAGTACCATCATTTTAAGAGTACCTTATTTTATTTTAAGAGTGTGTTATCACCTGAAGTTGCTTCTGACTCCAACTGGCATTCTGGGAACTGAGCACATTTGAAAATCAAGCCGTAATGACCACAGTCTGCATTCAGGGAATCATTGGGTTGGAAGGGACCTCCAAGGGTCATCTGGTTCAACCTCCAAAAATAAAATGAGTAATGCTGTACAAAGAAGGGTGACCTGTATCATGCAATACCATACTATATATGTTGCTGAGAAGGGAGGTGACACCACTCAAGTGAGAATGATCAGATATTTGGTCAAACAAAGAATAAATACTTGGAAAAAACATTTCATAGATTTTAGAGATTGGATCCTCAGCTACCATACATGATGTAGTTTCATTTAATTGATCGGGTCGTATAACTGTAGTTGGACCTAACGTGTTTGTTTCTTTCTTTCTTGTAGGGTGTGCTGATCTCCAAAGCCTTGACACTATGCAGCCAATGGAAAGGAAAAGACAGGGCTACATCCATGAGTTCATCCAGACAGAAGAGCGATACATGGATGATCTTCAGCTGGTCTTAGAGGTGAGACTGACTTGGAACAAAATATGGTTTGGGAAAATCACAAAACAAACTTCATCTGCCAGACCCTTCTTCCAGAACATTTGATGCATAACTGAGTTACGGAAGGGTTATTTACCATATGGAGGTAAATCTGTGCATGTTTAAAAGTAGGCCAGGCTCAGATATTATCAGTAATATCATTGCAGAATTCATTTTCTCATGACACTAAACTCTTCAATTATTGAGAATTGCCATGTAATCTAAAGTGAAGCTGCCAAGTCTGTCATATCAGTCCTGTTTGATTGAATTGCTGCTGTCTGTCACCAAGACATTCATTGCCTATAATGATCTTCTAAATAACACTGCCTGAAGGTCTCCTTTGTCGCCACCTTTATAGAGTGCTGGGTTGAGGCCACTCCATCCCTGATGCCTTATCAAATGTCACTGACACCAGTTATTCTGTTGCTTGCTCTGGGATAACTTTGCTATTTCAGTACTTATCTTCCTCCCCTAGAAAATACCACTTTTCCTCTGGCAGGACTTCCACTGTGGTAACCAATGCAAAAAGATATTTCATTTTTTTTTCTCAGGTCATGCTTTTCTCTCACTGATGACTAGAGACTAAAAAGGCTAGGACTTTTCAGTTTGGAAAGGAGAAAGATGAGGGGAGATACGAGAGGTCTGTAAAATCATGAAGGGTCTGGGTCCAAAATCATGAAGAGAACTGTTGTTCATCAAGTTCCAGAATACTAGAACTAGGGGGCACCCACTGAAATTAGTAGGTGACAAGTATAAAACTAACAAGAGAAAGTACTTTTTAAGGCAACTCGTAGTTAACTTGTAGGATTCATTAGCACAGGAGGTGGTGGAGGCAGTTAGCATAGCCAGGTTCAAAAATGGACTGTATAAATTCATGTATAATAGATGTATCAATGGCTATTGAACAGAATGGTTGGAGATGTTTCCTCTGGCATCTCTAAACCAATGATGGCGGATGCCACAGAGGGTATTAAATAGGGGATAGATCACTCGAGAGATACCCGATTCAGTGCTCTCTCTCTAATAGCATCCACTTCTGCTACTGTTGAAGACGTTTTACTGGGCTATTTACAATGGACCATTGGTCTGACCCAGTCTGGCACCTCTTAGGTTCTTTCATACTTTTCCCTTCAAGTCCCCTCTGGGTTAATATTTAGCACTTGCATCACCTGTCATCTCAAAGTGCTTTACATTTACCAGGCCTCACATACACCCTGATCAGCAAGGGAAAGGGAAGGATTGCCTCCACCTTACAATGAGGAAGCTAGGACAGCTTGCCCTAACAATAGAGGGGTTTAGAGACAATTCTGGGTTAGAATGTGAGCTGCAGCGTAATAACATCCTTGGACCACCCATCAGTCTTCTCTAAACTGACTGTATCTCGCCAGACGTGGATTTGTATTAGCCACCACCCTACTGGCGCATCTTAACCATTGGTTACACTAGGACCTTCCAGATATAAAAGCAAGAGTTTCTACAGCTTGAGCTAACCAGTCAGACTCTCCAACTAGGGGAGCTGCTCTCTGGGAATGAGCATTGGTGTTGAGCTGAAGCTCCTGAAAGGAGGTATTGCCCTGCATCCTACTTAAACACTTGAGTCCCTGCCACACATTGCACTTAAAGATCATGTCTCAAATTGTAACCCAGCCACTCATTAAAGCAATGAATGGCATCATAAAACAAGGACTAAGCCACAAAGTCGTTCCACAAAAATATGTAATACCTTTGTGGCTGGTTTCAATCATGCCATTAATTGAACGTGTGGCCATGTGACCCACCATGACTAGGAGCCTGGATCAGCTGCTAGTGTTCCCAGCACCATGCACCCCCAAGGTTGGAAGTTCACAGCTGATGGTGCACTCCTGTGGCTGGGAACCCCATGTACTCCTGAGGCTGGGAGCCCTGAGGCTCATGGTGCAATCCCATGGCTAGGAGCCCAGATCAGCTGACAGGGCTCCCAGCCACTGGGGCACGTAGTATGCTCCTGTGGCTGGAAGTCCCATCAGCCAGGGGGCTCCCAGCAGCAGGAGCTTGCTACTTGCTGGTGCAGAGGCATCCCAGGCTACCTCCTGCACCAACTATAAGGCATGATGGTATCTGATGCTTGATCCCACAGTCACACCTCCTGCCATGCTTGTGTGACATGGCAGGAAGTACAGTTATGTGGATCTTGCATCAGACCCCATCATGCCTTTACCTGCACATCTGGAGGGGCCATGAATTAAACACCCGATTTAAATGGTTGCAGGCGTGAGGCACATGAGTAAATAAAACAAGTAGTGTTTGAGCATCCCTGGATTCTAAATTGCTGATTTCTCTCCATTTTGAAGTCAACCTGCAAGGCAAGTCCAGTGCAATTAAAGCACATGAATGGATACCTCAGAGTACTGAGTGCTCTCATGTAGCTGCTAAACCATTAATAATTTAGAAACGGAAAAGGCACTGGCCGTGTACTGCTCTCTTTGTATTTGAAGCTGCTCACTTGCCTATTGTTTGACTGTAGGTTTTCCAGAAACCCATGGCTGAATCAGGCTGTCTCACGGAAGGAGAAATGGGACTGATCTTTGTTAACTGGAAGGAGCTCATCATGTCGAATACAAAGCTATTGAAGTGAGTACTGCCAGCTTTGTGCTTCCTGCATACTAGCTCGCTCGCTCACACATTTTCCCCATAATTTATCCTCCCGTTCTGCTCCCTAGAAATCGATTTGATGGTAAGCGTTTCTGCTCTTGCTGATTACTTCCCATTCACTAATCCTGTAGGACGTGAATTCAGAGCAGCTAAGGGCATTCAAAGCGTCTCCCAAAGAAAGAGTGCTTTTGCTGTGACAAACCTGTTGGTATATCTGTATAAAGCAGGAGGATGCTATTCAGACAGGAATGGCTGGAGGGAGATGGAAGCCTTGAAGCATTTCCAGTGTTTCTGATGTGTTCATAGCTCTCTCTTCCTGTGCAGTGCATCTGTCGGTGCAGCAGGCAGCGCCAGCATTTCTTTAGGTGTTGGGACATCGCAGCCCCTTCCTGTGCTGCAAGAGAAGGTTTCTCCCTGTACAAACTCAGTGATGTGGTGGGATTCCATTTTCATGAGGGTGGGACTGCAGAGGCCCCTGGGTGAGCCCACTGCAGGATGGCCAGCTGAGTCAGGCTGCCATGTTGTCCCCCATCCAGAGCCCTGCGTGTGCGTAAGAAGACAGGAGGAGAAAAAATGCCTGTGCAGATGATTGGGGACATCCTACCAGCTGAACTCTCTCACATGCAAGCCTACATTAGGTTCTGTAGCTGTCAGCTCAGTGGAGCAACATTGCTGCAACAGAGGACAGATGAAGATACGGAGTTCAAAGACTTTTTAAAGGTATCCTATTTGCTAACTTTCCTCTCAACTCAGGCATCCTTTCATTTCATGGCAGGACCCTTTCAAAAGGAGGGCCTACCATTGTCTGAATGACCAGAAAACACAGCACTCCAGAAGCTCACCTGTATACATAAGGACACAGGCCTGGAAGGGGCCTCCTGGGCCACCGAGTCCAGCGTCCTGCATTCACAGGCAACCAGTTACCCAAAAAATCCATCAAGGCACTTCTTCAGACCCTGCAAGACACAATGCTCATAACACTGACACCACCCACACGCTACAGGGAAAAGCAGGGGAAAGGAGGACACAGCAGGGAAAGCCACTAGCAATCACAGAGAAGTAATTGGTTAATATATGCTCAGAAGACCCTAAGGAAGGGCCGTGCTTCATACTACAGAAGAACTCCCCACTGTCCTGGCCAGTCTGACAGAAGGGGAAATCCCTGACCCCAGATCTAGTGTTGGTAGGACCATGAGAGGAATAGCAAGATCCAGTAGCCGGCAACCTCTGAGTTTTCTAAGTACTGGCAGCGACATCAGCACTCCACTGCCAAAACCCCACAGTATTAGTTGTGGCCAGTGTCCCAGTGATTCAGAGGAAGCTGAAAACCCCAGAAGCCAATAGCAGTCACAAAAGGGAAAAATTTCCTTTCTGGCCCATACTAGCAACCAGTCAAGCCCACAGATCCTCCTCTCCTTTCATTTGAGGAGTCCTCTTGTGTCTGACATGCCGCTGGTGCTGACACTCAGGGTACACACTTTGCAGTCACAGCACAGCATGGTCTTTTATTCCGTATTGGTGTTTTCCATTTCATGGCTTCAAATTCCTCCAGCATCTTTGCTGCAGTTATAAAGCTTCAGTACCTCCGTCTGCCCTTTTTTCAAGTGCATTCTACCAAGAGAGGCCAGTGTATTGATTGAGGATGCAAGACTTGTCATAAACACAGAGAGGCCAGTGTATTGATTGAGGATGCAATCCTTGTCATAAACCCCCCATGTAGCCTGTAAAATCCGTGAATAGGCCGCACCGAGCTGTCGCTAGGTTGTGCTGTGTTGGATTGGGTGAGACCGCCATGAGAAGGAAACGGGTCACCGGGAAGTGGGTGTGCTCCTCAAATGAGAGGGAGGAGCTGCTTCCACAGCGCTCTGGGGAAGAATGCCAGAACTGATGCCATGAACGTTCAGCTTTCTTGTAAATGTAGAGACCCCTGTGTTAAGTAAAAGAAAAGTGGAAACAGCTTTTTATGACAAGATTCTGGTGTTGTGGTGGTTATTTATGGCCTTCTTGGCCTACCATGCCAGCATCTTTCAGTCGAATGTCGGCTTTACCATTCCCTCCTGTTTTCTCTAAATGAAATGGTCTGTGGTTCTTCACCTTGATAGAAAACTCTGCTCCACTGGTTGCCATTCAGTGCAGCAGTGCAAATGTTTCTGTTTATGCGTTGATCCACAATGCAACCTCACTGTTACATCTCTGGGTTACACCGTAGAAACTAGCCTCGGACCCTCGCTGTAAAGGGATGCCACTGTCCAGCTTCCTTCTGAAACCCATGCAGAGAATAACCCGCTACCCCCTGCTCATCAAGAGTGTGAGTAGTGACATCCTGAGTTTTCTGCCTCAAAGTACAGAGAAAGCCTTGTCCGTAACGAGGGTTTTCTCTCTAAGTGGAGTATGCATGACACTGTTCTCACTTGTGCTCTATCTCTACTTCTTCTCACCCAGATTCTGGAGAACACCCCCGAAAACCATCCCGATCACAGCAACCTGAAACTGGCCCTGGAGCGTGCTGAGGAGCTGTGCTCTCAAGTGAATGAAGGGGTGCGTGAGAAAGAGAACTCCGACAGACTGGAGTGGATACAGTCGCACGTGCAATGTGAAGGACTTGCTGAGGTAAGGGTGGCTCAGTGGGGAGGACAGTGGGTGGGTGGGTGTGTAGAGCTGGTCCTTACAGCCTTTGGAACGTCATTTACTCAGAGGCCAGAAGAATATAGAGGTTAGTGCTCTACCACCTAGGATCTGTTCCCCAAGTGCCACCCCTTGACCCCTAGTAGTCCCAAAGGGAGGTGCCTCTCATCCAGTCGGGCAGATCTCTTGCGTCTGATTGGTTTCATATGTCTGCATGCGGGAAATTGCTGACATTTTAAATGAGTTCCATTAAGCTCCTGAGCTAACACTCACTTAACAGTGAACAGAAACACTTTGCTATGTTCAGAAATTTTGCTCGTGCTGGCTGCAGGCTGAGGCAGGTGTTGCTATGAGGTTTTTCTTCACATCACACCATAAGGGTGCAGGACCAGATCTCAATGGTAAATAGGAAGTAGGCACCTAAATCCCTTTGGAGATCTAGAGATTGCTTTTAAGCCGACTTTCTGGAGCACAGAATGACAGTTTCCAGGAAACACACTGGCTAGTAACTCAATCAGACGTGTCTGTGGCTTTCCAGCCTTAAACTAAAGGTTTCCATCGGGAAAGGTTGAAACTGCTCCAAATTAAAGAAGTCTGACCTTCATTCAGCCTTGCTAGATGTGACATTAGCCATTGGTGGAAATGTACAGGACTCTTGCAAGCAGTAAGCATGGGAGTAGTGTTAATTGTAGTCGCTGTGAAGACAAAGTGGGAACTAATGCACATAATTCCTCAGTGCTGCTGCCACTTAACTTACTGAGTCTGTTCCTCTTAGCAACCGATTTTCAACTCCCTCACAAACTGCCTGGGCCCACGAAAGCTCCTGCACAGCGGCAAGCTCTACAAGGCAAAGAGCAGCAAGGAGCTGTATGGCTTCCTCTTCAACGACTTCCTCCTTCTAACCTACATGGTCAAGCAGTTTGTTTCCTCGGGGTCAGATAAACTCTTCAGCCCCAAATCCAACTCTCAGTTCAAAATGTACAAGATGGTGAGTGAATTACAAGCCAGTCAGCAGTGTTTAAAACGTGGGACCTGATCTCTCGATATAAATCATAGTTGTTATCCAGCACAGACTGTCACTTATCTTTTATGCCTGAGGTGTGTTGTCAGTGGGCCGCAGAACTTCATTCATGTAATGTGAGCACCACAAAGAGAACAGCCCCCTCCTCCCCCTTGCCACTTCTGTTGGTGAAGTCCTCCTTCCCCTTCATGTTGAAAGGACAGCAATACCAATAGTTACTAGATGGTGCTCAGTGGTCAAGATGGGCCTTCAAGGAGGCTCCTGATTTCACTGTGAGAGTCCTAAAAATCTCACCTGATTTTGAAGAGAACGGGACTTGCCTAAATACTGACTTGGAAGCCTAACTTGAAATTCACATGACTTCACAGTGACACCTGGCACACACAATTTTGCCCCTTTCATAAGTCTGTTTTCATAGATGGCCAGTGTAGGTTTTTATTCCTCTACCTTACAGATTCTTTATCCTAGAAAGATTTTTCTCAAGGCTTTAAATAGTGACCTCACTGTTAATCTTGTGTGCGGTGAAGCACTGTTGTTTTCTTCTGGGAGAAGCAAGTGTATTTAAACATCATAGCTTGGGTTGGGCTTATCCTGGTGACATCACTGTGGTGAGATTTACTTTTCCTGCCTTTCTTTCAGCCTGTTTTCCTTAACGAAGTCCTTGTGAAATTGCCAACTGACCCTTCCAGTGATGAACCTGTTTTCCACATATCCCACATCGACAGAGTATACACACTAAAAACAGACAACATTAATGAGAGGTAAGTCCAGGAAATGGTGCTCTAAGGGCACAGACAGAAGAACAACTCCCTGTTGCAACTCATAGCACTTTGCAGTAAGCGCTATGAGTTGTAACAGTCCCCTGGACCCAACAGAGTCTGCTGTTGGGTCCAGGAGCTGGGGATTCCAGCTGCTTGCTGCGAGCCTGCAGCCCGGTCTCCGTAGCCATGCCACTCCCTCTCCCAGCCCAGAAACTGTTTTCAGAATGGTGGGGGGAAGGGAGCAGAGGGAGCTTGTTCTTGGGGATCCAAGAAAATCCTGGATTTCTCCAGCTGGCGCTGGAGGGTGGGGCAGGTGGGGAACTCCAAGAACAAGATGGCACCTGCTGAAAAGACCCCAGACCAAACTCCCACCACTCCCTTTCCGCCCTCTCATTCTGAGCAGTGACAGTGTGGGAGCTCCACAGACACTCCGTTTTGGAGCGTGTTCATATGAACCCTCCTGCAATGGGGGTTCAGATTTTTGTGGTATTAGGCCCTTTTAAAGTGGTCTGCAGCTGTGCACTTGTGTTTAGTCACAACTGTAGATTGCTTTCTGGGGCAAGATCGAGGGAAAATTTGTCACTTCTGTCTGTGCCCTAAGATTTCACTTTTAGGGCCTACCCACTGGAAGGAAATCCTTCAGAATGGACATTCCAGTGGGTCTCTGCGTCTCCTCAGGGCAGCAGAGCGGTAACAGGCTTGCACAGGAATGTGACTGTACCTGTGGAACTGGCTTCAGACCCACAGGTCCATTCCACTGACTGGAACTGACATTGGATTTAACCTGCAGGGAGTTTTGTGTTGGACCTGGCACAGACGTGAATCTGTCTAGAGCTAGATGGATTTGTCTGTAAAGAGCAGAATTTCATTCTGTCCTGAAACCGTACAATAGAGTTGTTAATAATTTTCTCAGCTGTCAGGGCTCTAGTCTGATTTTCCTCATTAAACTGGTGTAAATCAGGATTGAGTCATTTGAAAACTATGTTCCACCAAATATGCTCCCCTCCATAAGTGGAACTGGAACTGTTTAACTATTCCTCTGCTGCTGTTATCTACGAGACAAGGATTTCTTAGGGTGATCTCTTTTATTGGACCAATTGCATAGCTGGGGTAGAGTTAGACAAGCTTTCAAATGCAAGATGCTTTTCTTCAGGTTTCTGGCATCAGGTCTGTTATCTATAGCAGCCATTGACAAAGTATGTCTCATCACCTCTATTTCTGGTCCACATGGAGGATGACAATTCAGAGAGAGCCCAAGGCATGAGTTATATAAGGACTCGGACAAGAAGATCACAGTCCTTCCTTCTGCCTTTCTCATCTGACTCTGTGACCCTCATACAGTTACTTCATTGGCTGAGATCTGCATGCATCTAATAGGCTGCCACATGATAGAATTTCTCAAATTTTTCAGTTTGATCATTTAAAATCACAGGGAAGCACACGGAAAGTATTGTTAAAAGAACATTATTGAAGCAAAATCAAAGATACTCAGAAGCTTAAAAGTGCCATCCTGAAAGGTGTTTGTGCAGCCTTAAACCTTCATTTCCCAAAACCTTGTGTGAACCCTTGATGATGCAGCCTGTAATGACATCGGGTGCAGACAGATGTAACACTTAGACCATTTCAAATGTGGTTCAAGTCTTACATGTCTAGACCAGTTTTGAACGGTTTAAACTTCCTGGAATGTTTCAAAGGCATACCTGGACAACCAGGAGTTATTTTGAACCAGTCCTCTGTGACCCAATTCAGTCTTATGTGCAGACACTGAGCTTTCTGTGACTAATGTCTGGTCAGTCCTCCAGGCATCCCACACTGCCTTGCTCCTCACCTCTTCCCCACCCTCCCCATCCCCCACAGGGCAACCTGGCTGCTCTGGCACACAGCCAGAACTCTACTGCCCAAACATTTACTGCCTGCGCTGACCACGGTCCAGCTAATCCGGGTCATCCTCCCCCTGTCAGGGAGTTCTGGGGAAACTCGGAGCACCTGCCAGGCAAGGCATTCTGGGGTGAGTGTTCACTACCACCCCCTGGGGATGGTTCAACAGCACTGCAATGCCTAAAAGGTGGCTTTTCTACTTCGAACGTGTGTGGAACAGTTGTGAGCCGGCTCCCAGTCATTGACATTCGTAGAACAGTTTATGTCTGTCTGTGCCCACTGAGTGCCTGTTTTGTGTGGAGACCAGGATGGGACTTGCTTTAGGATGTATCGGGCTTGTGCAGTAAAGGAGGTTGTTGTAGGAGGTGCTCTTTGTATGGACCTGAATTTACTGACCCTGGATCCCTTCCAGGTCTGTGTTCCAATGTCTGTAGGACGCAGCCCCATATGTTGCAGAATGCAGCAAGTGTATAATAAATGATGAACAGGATTACAGGACGTTCCCATGGTTAAGGTAGTTTAATGCTGCTGTGAAGAACAAGCTTCCAGCTCTGCCCTTACTGGAGAGTTTATATGTGGTGCTGGGCATGTCACTTCAGTCACTTTCCCCACAGAGTGACCAACCACATGTTCCTTATTTTCTCTGTCCCACACACAAGATCCTACAGGATGATTCGCAGAAGTGCTGCACACACTCATCTGCTCCTGACAACACTGGGAGCTGAGCTTTGAACACAGAAAGGGTGATATGATGCAAAGTACCCTGAAAAATCAGATCCCAAATGTCTCAAATTGGGCACAGAAACATTTTGCCATAATCTCTGTGCCTCAGCTCCCTGTACACCTAAGGTAATACCCCTGCAGGCTCCCTTGGGGGTTGTGAAGATAGATTACTTAATGCTTTTGAAGCAAGTAGATGCCAGAGCAAGAAGCACCATAGAAAACCCAAGGAAAAGCATCTTTCTGTCTTCAGAGCAAGATTTAATCATGCACCAGTTATATTAGAGTGGTGCAGGTAACCCTGATTCTGGCATGGCCTAACTTTTCTTCTAACCTCATGATGTACTGTTAGTAGTGGGGTGTGAGACTCATGTATAGACCACCCACATATGCCAGCCTTCTTTTTTAGTGTGTGTCCTATTCCTGATTCCTCCCGTCTGATCACACCAACGTGTTACAAAACATATTCATCCTCTGAGGAGCAAGCAGATTTAAATAGAACAGACTCTTTCTACACAAATGCAATGAACAGTGTATAAGTAAAATGTTTTTCTCCATGAAATGGTTTGAAATGTTCTCAGACTGCGTGAAGTTCACCCCACGTAGCCCTAATCCAGCTACATGCCAGGGGCAGGGCAGGCATGCAGAATGGGGTGTGGGGGTTGGGAGACTGCCCCATGAGTGGGGCAAGTAGATCATTACTTGAATCTTTTCCTGTGGTAGGAAAAGGTGGTAGGCATCCCCCTACTCCAAAGACTGCCACCCCACCACTTTCACCCAGCTCCCAATGGCCTCGTCTACTGGGGAGCGATCAGCCCTACAGAAGGGGAGAAAGGCCCTTACAGAAGTGATTCACAGAGAAGCCAGAGCCTTGTGGGATTGGATGTCAGTGAGGAGATGAGGATGGGAGCCTAATGGTTAAGGAGCCCTAAGGGTGACTCAGAAAGAAAGGGTGATGTGAGTCTTGAATTAGAAACAGAGGTTGGTTAAGTGGCATTGAACTAACTGCAAGTTTTGTGGCTCCAAAGTAATTCTGCAGGGCTTAATCTTTGCAGGACCGCCTGGGTCCAGAAAATCAAAGCTGCATCGGAGCATTACATTGAGACGGAGAAAAAGAAGCGGGAGAAGGCGTATCAAGGTACTCAGTGTGGCACATGCGGAGGTCTGCTGCCTGCAGGCATGTGACAGCCTTTTCTTGAGGATATGGCAGTAAGCCATAGTCAGAAGGCTGTTTGAGCAGAAGGCCCCCTCCTGGCTGAGCCAGGCTCGGCTTGAGGCAAGTCAGGGCTGTTGTGTGGCCCCTACACACCTGACTACACTGCCTGTTCCACATTGGACAAATGAACTTACTGTCATTACTGGCTTTAGTTTTAGACTCAAACCCGTTTTATTAATTCAGACGTCTCCTTTTCCAGCCCGCTCCCAGAAGACCTCTGGAATAGGACGCTTGATGGTGCACGTGATTGAAGCAACAGAACTAAAAGCCTGTAAACCCAACGGTAATGACCTAGGGATGGACCCTTCCTCCCCCCCCCCATTCAGACAGAAGGGCTAAGAATTCAAGGAGTCAGGGGCCAGTGCAGATTTCAATTGCTGCCTCTGAATGAATTAGCCTTTAGGTGGCTCTCAAAGGTGCAGTGAGGGGAACATCTCTGCACTGTTCCACAGAGTTGTTGTATGATCCAGGCTTTCTGTATGGCAAGTAGCTGTTCAAGCTGGGAAAGGCTTTTGTCTTGAGCTGGCAGCTGGTGTAAAGCCGGGATCTGGGGAAGGAACTCTGGTTCGGAGAGTCAGCTGAAGAACAGAAGGGGCTGAGCAGAGGTCTGGCACGCCCGTTTCCTAGCACTTCATTGCGAGATCTGTGCAGGGAACAGCATTTCACTGCTTGTTCTTTATTCAGGGAAGAGCAATCCATATTGTGAGATCAGCATGGGGTCTCAAAGCTATACCACTCGGACGCTGCAGGACACTTTGAACCCCAAATGGAACTTTAACTGCCAGTTCTTCATTAAGGACCTGTACCAGGACGTCCTGTGCATCACCATGTTTGACAGGGATCAGTTCTCACCTGACGGTAAGTCTGGACCTTTATTTTGGGATGTGAGAGCTTCTCTAAGTCTGTGAATGTTTGCTGGGCTGGCCCTTGGAAACACTTATTTATAAGCTAAGCATACTGGATATGGAAATCGCAACACAGGACTTCCCAATACCAAGTTGTGGCTGTTTAAAGTAAAACCATGTTGTCAACGTGTACCAGCACAAGCATGTAAATGAAGTAGCCAGAATGAAGCCTGTGTCCTTGCTGAAGAGAACTGTAAACGGTCCAGTCGGGATTATTGTTTAGGTTCATTATTTTTCATAGAGGAAATGGAATATATAAACCTAATTACAAATGCCTGAACTAAAGTTAACTAAATCCTGGGCCAGGCTCTATGGTTGACTTGAGAGTTGAACAAATTATTTTTCTGCCCATCCATGTCTAAGATAAAGGTAATAGTTTTCATTTGACAGGGACTTTAGTGGAATGGAAGTGGTGTTTGTAAAGCACATTATGATCCTTAGACCAGAGGCATGCTAGAAGAGCAGTTTCCTTTGTAGCATGTTTTAATTCTGTGCTTTTAGCTCCTAACTTGTAAAAAGCCCCTTTGATCTATGTAGGCAGGGTAGGTATGGTGTCTGAACAGCAGCGAGACCTGTTCAGGAGTACAGCAAAGAGTCTAAATCAGCCTCATGTGCATTAGGGAGTTCAGCTTCAAGGGTGCTGACCTCACATCTACTACATTTATTCTTTGCTGTGTTCTCACTTCCTGAGACCACTGCAGCTGACACATTTAAGCCTTACACTGTAAAATGCTATTAGGAACAACTGTTTCCTCTACTGTGAGAAACAGTCACAGCTATGGGGCACCAAGAAAACTGCCTTTGGCATCCAAAGCACTGCAGAGACCTCATGATGCCACTCCAGAGCCTTTTCCACTCCAACTCTATTAGGAATCCCTTTCTCATTATATATAGGTCTATTGAGCCATTCTGATCCCATGCCCGACAAACTTTGTTCTGTTTTTCTAATCAAAGCTGGATTGTTTAATGCTGCTGCTTGGTTGTTTACACTTGTTTGACAGATTTTTTGGGTCGCACTGAAATTCCAGTGGCAAAAATCAGAACAGAACAGGAGAGCAAGGGACCTTCAACGAAACACTTGCTGCTGCACGAGGTCCCAACTGGGGAAGTCTGGGTCCGCTTTGACCTGCAGCTCTTTGACCAGAAGACACTCCTTTAAGGAAACATGTTTCATCAGAGAAAGGACAAGTGAAGCCGACAGCTCGGCGGTCAGTCTGAGTGCATTTTACAAACCATTGTTCATCCCAGGCTGGCTACTGACCAAGAGTTCTTGCTGCATCGTCATTCCTCCTTGTTTCCTCTTGTTGAGGATTTCTTTGCTGCATTCTAAGTTGCTGGAGATCTATGCAAACACAGGTGTTACTGTACAGAAGATATTTTAGCCAGTGCCTTTTTATTGACTAATATTGAAATCTGTGCTGTTATACAGATGCCAATGTTTCCATTTTCAGGGCCATATGGAGTATTAAGTAGGCATTTGGCATCACAGCATATGTCTAGCATGTCACCACTTAGTCTAACATAAAGACTGAGGAATGTTTTAGTGGAAAGCTAGAATCATTCCATCTGAAAAGTGATATCCACTGGAATCTGCCCGTCTCAGGATGTTAGTTTTAGAGCTTGAATGATGAAGCCTTAGCACTTAAGGAGCCTCAAAACTACTGTATATAAGAAGAAATCAAGTGCAGTTCTTTACTTGACTCAGTTCTGCACTGAATAGGAAACTGCAACTTGATTTTTTCTTCCTGGTCAGTTTTGTTAATTGTTCTCTGCTGAGACAATGCGGTTAAAAGAGGAAACTAGAGAAAAAAGATTTATTTTAAATACTGTGACCTGCAGTAATGCAGACAAAATATTTTTCAAGTTTTAGCTTTCCTAAGTATAAATTATTTGTGTAAATGGCCTCAGTTCTGCAGGTCTCAGTAGGCTGCACCTGTAAGCTTTGTCATTGCCAATGTGTAAAATATTAATGTAAAGAGAGTAAAATATTAATGTAATTTGTCTACAGATGTTTACTGATACATATTGATTTTTAAAGTCTATTTTATTGTACAGGTGAATGTGAAATAATGGGGAGTAAAATTACAGGGACTAAATTCAAAGTGAGTCTATTAAGCTGTTAGTTGTGTCTGCTCTGGGAACTGCTTGTGCAGTGGGATCAGGTAGAAAGGAAACCTCTTGCAAGCAAAATCTTCATCCTGGCACCATCATCAGGAAAAGTAGATGGGGTTTATTTCTGACGTATTTGATAAATCTGAACCATCTTACTGCTACCGTCATTTGTCTTGCTGACATGAAGCCCTGTGCGCAGTTCCAAATGAGAAGCGCACTGGTCTCCATCCCATGGGTGCTGCGATACCTAATGACATCCAAAAGAATATCAAGCCTGTTGTGCTTCCTTGACAGGGTTTGAGTCAGTCCCTTGGTTACTTTTGACAGCTTTCTGTGGTTCGGTATTTCTGATCCTGAATAAACAAAGGTGAATCTTAGTGCTGTGGAAAGGCAGTGTCTATTCAACTGACTGAAAACACATTTCACACATCTTAAGATGGCAGCACTTTGTGAGAGATGAGCAAGTGTGCGATTGCCTAACCTCTCTCCTTCTGACCTTGGTACATCCCAAACACACATGGTGCAGGATCCCAATCACTATTTTAAAGTATAGACTGTGTTTAACTTCTGGGCTACTAGGAGAAGTTGATAGTGCAGGGGCTGTTAGCATTGGTCTTCCAGAACTACGTTCTCCACACCTCAGTGCTTTCAGCTGTCAAGGTGTTAAATCGGTCCCTAAGCTCAAATCCCTCTCTGCTTGTGCACTTCATACATCTCAAACGAATTTTCATACATCTTGAAGTTGCCATGATGATATGAACTTAACTTTCTGCTGCATCAAACAGAAGTCTGTTTTCACCTAGGATGTTTTAATAGAGAAGTAAATATTGGACCAAACATTGCTAGAGAATAAGTGCCTGAAGAAGCTATGCCTCCCACAGCAGATTCATCTTCCCTACTTCTAGGTCACTGCACAAGCAGCTGTGCGGAGTGGGATTCTTGTTCTGCCTCAAGGCTGTATAGAGTCCAGCCCAGAGGCCTGCATGTTTTCACTTCACTTCTTGATCCCTGCAGTAACTCATGCCTGGCTCCATGACTATGGATTGTCTCGAGTTTGACATTCAGACTGGCAGAGTGCTTTTCCTGCCCTCCTCCCTTTCTGAGTAAGGAGGTTGCCCCAGGTATTAGTGAAGATCAGGTACAAAACAGGAGGATGAGGCTTTATTTGTCATTTCCATCTTAGAATTCTGACATTTTTCAAGGCAGCTCTTACACAGCATTGGAATAAGCTCTAGTGTCTGAGTACTTTCCCCTGTCTAGAGAGTAGCATTTCTAAACAAACTCCTACAGTTTTATCTCTGTCCCACTGAGTGATTGACTGCCCAGCCATGGCGTCCTGCACTTTTTCTCCGTACTGCTGTGCAGTCAGCACTTGAGAAAGGCATCCTTTGGAAGCCCACTTTATTGTGGTTTGCCCAACTGACTGCCCCATTGTCACTTGCTTGGGCAGAAGGTCCAGCATGTATGTCCCAAACCTGACCTGGTGGATATGCATCCCCTCTTTCCGAAGGATGGGAAGGCAGGCGGTGTTGGACCAGGCCTTGAAGTCCAGGGTGCCTTTGTTTTGGTTTCTGGTCATTCTTCTCCTTTAACAGAAGTAAATCAGATGGGAGAGAGATGTTGAGTCTCTCATATACAGCCCAGCCATGCCTTACCAGACAGGGTCATTCAGACAAGTGTCTGTCTTCTTCACAAGAAAACAGTAGCTTTGCTAAGACCCATATTCTCATAGTCTTTGAGAGCAATAGGGCCTTGGCTCTATGACAGCCACTGGGTCAGACCCATGGGGTGAGCAGCACAGGACTGCTCCAGCTGGCCTCCACATCAAGAGATAAGGGAGCCCTAGCAGCAGCTAAATAGCCACAACAGCTCCCCAACACCTCCCACACAACAGGGCTATGGGGACAAAGCAGGATGGAGTCAGAGCAGTGAACGCAGTCCAAGTGAAGGAAGAAAAATAGAAAATGAAAAGCAAGCAGAGCACAAGACAACCAGGCCAGCTAAGGTACAGGCAGGAGCCTGTGTGCCAACCTCTGCCAAAGGAGGCACCCCAGAGAAGCTATGGGAGGCAGGGGGGTTCTGCAGCTCTATGCAAGAAAGACTCCAAGTACCTCCTCCCTCGTTGCTGATGGTGCACACAGGGCAGGGGCTTCCTTAAGAGCTCTAATGAACAGGCAAGGACGGGGATCCATAGTTACAGCATAAAAGGCAAATGAGCATCTGGGAATCAGATGCCTTTTGTTCTCCATCAGCTGGAAACCAGCAATAGTAAAAAGACCCCCCATTTCTGAGCTTCTTTCAGTCATCCTGTGCTTATTAATGGGGTGAAGGTTTCAGGTGGGGGTTAAGGGGACTCTACATAACATACTAGGTTGATAACACTGAGTTTTCCCTCAGGCACTTTGATAGGCAAGCTCCATCATGGTAGTTCTGTTGCCAACTGATCAGCTGCTTAGTTAGACATTACCTCTTTCTCTGATGAACTTCGCTGTCGATATATCCTGGGGCTATTTTCAGCCACTCAACTGCATCCCAACGTTGCCGACCCAACGGAAGTGGCGGCAGCTTTGCCTTATGTAGTTCATTCATTTCCTTGGCAGAATATATTCTTCCTGCAGGCAGTGAAAGAGTAACTTGTGTGAACAGAAGCACCAGCACTAGGTGGCAGGGCTGTTGCTGGGCATGGACTTCTTTAGCAAAATAAATGGGGATGACATTCAATACCTGTCTCACACTGCTGGATAATCCCTTTCTCAAGGGACTTTCCTTGCACCTCCTTTAACAGGGGATCCTTGAAAGGTGGAGTTGAAACCTGTAATGGAGGCAGGCAGTTCATACTTTTGTACCAACAAACATTTCCTTTCAATGGTGAGGGTCAGTCTGACAAAAGTTATCCCTCAAAGTACCGCTGTGAATAGGAAAGTGTCATTTGTCCTTTTTGTGGATGGGAAACTCGGACCCACTGAGGTGACAGGCCCGAGTTTCAGAGGTGCTGAGCTCCCCAGCTCCCAAATGAAGCCACAGGTGACACAGTAATGCTGTAGCAAGATCAGGAACTTGGCCTGGATGCCCCACCGTCACTCACCTGCTCTAAGCACCTGTCTCATTCCTCGCCCTCATGGAAGGTTCATAACTCCCCCGTAGCAAGTGTAATGCACATCTGCACCACACCTACAGTTGGTGTTAAGCTCCAGTCTGCCCGAGACACAATGGATGTTGCTTTAGTAGCCAGTATCCCACTACTATGTCCATGGCTTGTAGCCATAGAGTAATCTCCACTTGACACAGGCATGTTTCTGGTGGAGGCTTACAGTCTCCTGTTAATATCTTTTCATTAAGAATGGGGGAAGTATTTCAGAGGGAATAAATCTCAATGTACAACCATTGTCTATCTTTGAAATGAAATCAAAATCTCTTCTGGTTACAGGAAAGTATAATTAAGAACAGTCCCTATTCTACTACCAGGGGAAGGTATTCTCCTCCCAGTTTACCCCCACCTCTCTTCTCTTCCTTTTCCTGCAAAGTGTTATTTAAAACAACCCAGGTGGCTGTAATAAAGATGTGTTTTTTAATTCAAACTTGTAGAGTGTATGTGTGCGTGTTGTTGTTGTGATATACGTAACAGCTGCTCTGAGGCTTTTGGATAGGATGGGACATAAATATAAAATACTTCTGTTGCAAGAGAGAAAACTTGTTCTCCCTCCTCTTTATGGCAGCCTATTTGATGACTGCTGCTTGTCCCCCCAGTTGCTTTTTCAGCAAACTACACGCGTCTATCTCTCTCGAGCTCTCTTCATCTGACTTGCCTAGAGCAAGGACTAGTGCCAAGGAGTAATCCTTAACCTCTAAATTGCAGTCAAGTTCTCCATGTAAGAGGGGACAGCTTCGACTCATCCCTGTGCTGTAGCAGCCTGTTGGCTGAGGCCGAGAGCAGGCCTCCATGAAGTGACACGTGGGTTTGAGTGCCCTTAAGTTAAGGAGGGTATTGAATGATGGTGTCCTACATTGAGTGTTTTGAGCTATGATAGGAAAAGGGGCACTCTCAGGAATGATTTGGAGGAGTCCCCCATATGTCATGCATTTTATCTAAATTCAATTACCCCTGTCACGTTTGGCAGTTAATGAGAAGCTATGAGCAGTTTTTGTTTATAGGCCGTGGTTTGGTGTAAAAGCATTCTGTAATTTGGTAAGATGACTCAAGCAAAAGATGGGCAGTGAGTCCATTGGCTTGGCTAGGTGTCAAACAATGGCTGGGAGGACACTTGCAGGCCTATCAAAGCAGAGAGGAGGCCAGTCTCTGGAAGGTGCCTACAATGGTACTAAGGAATGAAAAGGTGATGGTCTCAAACGGTGGTGTGTATATGCCAAAGAAGAGCCATTCACAGAGAAAACCCAGACTCCCAAGCACATAGAAAGAAGGACTATCAAAACGAGGCAACCGGTCTCTGGGAGGAACATCCAGAATTGGGACATCTATCAAGCAGCCAGGAATGAGAAGTGTTAGCCTTGTACAAAAGCAAGTTTGTTCCTTTGCCAAGGGAATTTCAGATCTCCAGGCAGACAGTAATGTTATGGAGAACCCTCCTGCTCCCCGAGATCTGGGAGGAAAGGTAAAAATGGGAGGAGCTGGCTTCAAGGTATTTAGGAAGCCTGTTGGGAAGTCAGACCTGATAGAGTCCTCAGGGAAGCTGGTCTGGTCTCTGGAAATACTGACAAAGGTCTCTGAGGGTCAGAAAAGCAGGTGAGATTCCTCCATTTGGTTTGTGTATCCTGTCTTCAAATTCTTTGGTTACTTTTTCTTGTGGGATTTCTCTCTCTTGTATAACAAATCTTTTTACTATTTTATTTACCTCACTGTTTGCCTATGCTATTCAGAGCAATCGATAACTTCAGGCCTTGTCTCTTGCAGAAGAGTGGGCCTACAGTTTTATACAAACCTAGGGTGAGAGAGTCTTGGAGCTAGCAGAGTTTTTCTGTTGTAGTTGCAAGATCTATTCTGAGGACAGGTAGAGCTAAGGTTTGAAGGGACGAGAAGTCATCTGGGGACAAATGTTAAGTCTGTTCCTTGTAGATTAGCAGCAGGGAGAGGGAGAAACCTGGGGCTCTGAGGACTCCCCCCAACAGTGGTTTGCCACATACAGCATTTTGAAGGAAAGCATTCACTGCCACTGCATTTGGTGTGAAGTCCACTGAGCAGGTGTGCTCAGAGCACCCATGCTGGCTTAAGCACCTCAGGTGAGAGAGATTTGTGAAGAGCGAGATGCTTCTGGGCTTGCACAGAGGAGAACTTAAGGTGTCTGGAAATTTAAATGTAGAAAACCACCAGACTTCAGGCACCCCCAGGTTAGGCAGCAGCTGAAAGTTTTAACAGTCACAATCTGGGTCTGAAGAGTCTAAGTTTTTATGGATAAGAGCCAACTGTCCTATTAAATTCCTATGCTTGTACAGTTTATCTTCACCCAGGCAGCCAGACAAACATACTATTCTATATTGCTTACAAAACCCTGCCTACTGAGAGACCCACCAAACCCTTCTCACAGGACATTTTTCCCAGACAACTAAAATAAATTTGAATAAAGCAAGAAAAAAATCTTCTCAACTATCTGAACTCTCCAGTTGGCCAAGTCCAACCAAAACTGAATTTAAGGCTGATAGGACACCAACCTGTCTCCAGCAAGTCCATTTTCAAATCCCTATGGACTTCAGTGGCAGCAGGATCACAACCCAGTTTTGTAAAACTACTGTTCATGAAACTTGCTCTCCTAAATACCACCACTTATGCTACCACCAATCCTAAGATCAATATTTCAACAGGTACAGGTTTCCCCAGGCTTGATCAAACAGTGCAGCTAAAATCCAAAGAGCAAGCACCCATCCTACCTTCCAGTAGTTGGTATGTGTTTTCAGGAAGAATGGATCATACTCCGAAGCATCATAATCTTCAAAAACGACATTGCCCTGTTGGGAAAACAAAGTGACACAGGTCGTGGCTGGTATGGCACCTAGACATGCTGCAGTGCAGTTATGCTGAGGCCTCGACAACACAGATTATATGAACATTTATAAAGTTGGTATTAGTGGTTGCCAATCTTCTTGGTTCACATACCACCTTCAAATATGATGCATATTTGAAGACCCATGGGCAATTTAACTTTTTTTTTTAATTTACCTTTAATAAACTTAACTTAGGCGTTTACTTTACTATAGAAGCAAGAAACTTTTATGGAAGCCTAAAATTTGTCGATTAATTGTAACTTGGACCAACCTGAAAACAAAAATGCCATTTTGTGAACAATGTTGAGTTAGACATTTACTGCATATTGCAGCCAGGATCTTTCAAAATTGTTCACGAAAGAGGACAGGACATGAGAGAGATGAAGAAACCCCAAAACAGCCAACAGTCCAGTAGTCACTGTCTTCATCCAGGATGTGGGCAGCCACAATCAAATCAATACTCAGAAGTAAGACAGAATGCCCTTTCTACCAAGTTACTGACTTCTGGGGTTTCTGGTCAGAGCAGTGTAGGCCTGAGTGAACTTTCTGAGTTTCCTCAAGACAAACATTCCACAAAAAGAGTTTGGTTTTAGAGAAATTAACATTTTCAGTCAGTTTTCAATCAAAAAGGTTTCAATCAATTCCAAAATATCAGCCTTTCTAAACATCTCAAGTTTTCTACAAGGCATCACAGAACACAATTAAGCACTCATTGTGCCCTTCACGCCATTTATCTTACAAGAAACACATTTATCATAAGTGGTCTCAATGAGTTTTGCAGCGCAGCTGAACTCTTTTCAGTGCTTGACTTTCTAACTTGTCTACCTGAAAGTCCGTGTTCTTGCTAAGCTTGAGAGCGTGCAGAGGAGAGCCACGCGCATGATCAGCAGGCATGAAAACAGACCTTATGAAGAGAGGCTGAGAGCCATGGGACTCTTCAGCCTGGGAAAGCGCAGGCTCAGGGGCGATCTGGTGGCCGCCTATAAGTTTGTAAAGGATGTCCACCAGGATCTGGGGGAACTTTTGTTCACCAGAGTGCCCCAAAGGATGATGAGGTCGAACTGTTATAAACTCCTGCAAGACCATTCCAGGCTGGACATAAGGAAGAATTTCTTTATTGTCCGAGCCCCCAAGGTCTGGAATAGCCTGCCATCAGAGGTGGTTCAAGCACTTACTTTGAACGCCTCCAAGAGAAATTTGGATGTTTATCTTGCTGGGATCCTATGACCCCTGCTGACTTCCTGCCCCCAGGGCAGGGGGCTGGACTCGATGATCTTCCGAGGTCCCTTCCAGCCCTAATATCTATGAAATCTATAATTCTCGTCTGAATTCCTGTTGACCACAAGTCAAGTCACTTTGCTTCCCTTTACACAAAATTGAAATCAGAAAAAGATATTAGCATCTGGCACATTTTTTGGAGGAAAAAAATGAGAGAAGTGCCATTAGTGAAAAGGAAGTGGATGGGTGGGTGTGAACCAGAACAGAAGGAGCTCTAGCGTATATGTGCATGTGGAAAAGGAGGGAGTGGCAGAGAAACTGGAAGTCTTGGGTAGTTGGACAAGCTTTTATGTCCAGGAGGCTTTTTGGTCCCCCTCAGTCAAGACTCCTGAGTTTCTGCAATGCTAGAAAAACTAGACAGCAGCTCCCATTCCTGTCAAGATGCAGCCAACTTGCTGCTTTGCTACTGAGACAGGATTTTATAGCCAGGCTTTAGTCCAATGGATTTAAGTGGCCATCACCGGCCTCCAGCTTCCCATGCCTCCAGATGCTGCATCCAGCTTGCAACTTCTGGAGTACATGGAGCACAAAGGGAGCTTCTTGTACAGGGGCCCTTTATTGCAGGACTTTACTGCCATTTCAGCCAGCTCTGTACATATTTCTTTGCTGTGACCAGGAACTATACAAGTTGGCCCCTGTAGGCACAGCTGTACCGCCCAAGCAGAAAGCCAGTCAGATAGCTGTGAACTAGAGAGTACAGCCCCCTCCCATGCCCCTCCAACCCTGCACTGCCACAGCACGCCCCCACCGCTACACTGAATTCCATGTTAGGCTGGCAAGCATTTGCCATGATGACTGAGAGCAGCCAAGACTGTACTCTCCTCCTCAGTGCACATAACCATTGTGCATTCAAAAGTGCAAGATCTTAAAAAAGTTTCAATGCACCTCTTTCAGCAAGCTCATGTTCTACCCACAGCAGGTGCACATAGAGTTTGAGGTACATACCTCATACACGGAGCTGTCACCTCAGCACAATGAACGGATATATCATCAGGACCACGCTCCATCATTACTGCTGCAAAGTGATTACTGCTCATTTTTTCAGTTTAAAGCAGTTATTCTCACCTTTTAGACTTAAGGTACCCCGTGTTAGGCTCAAGGCACCTCTTGGAAAATGCCAGCTTTTAGTTTTCACAAATTTTTTTGACCACGGAAAAAAAACAATATTTTTTGTTCAATATCTTCATTAACAATCTGGGAGGTGGGATGGAGTGCACCCTCAGCAAGTTCACAGATGACGCCAAGCTGGTGGGTGCAGATATGCTGGAGGGTAAGACTTGAATTCAGAGCAACCTAGACAAATTGGAGGATTGGGCTGAAAGAAATCTCATGAGGTTCAACAAGGTCAAGTGCAAAGCCTGCACTTAGGACAGAACAATCCCATGCACCGCTACAGGCTGGGGACTGACTGGCTAAGCAGCTGCTCTGCAAAAAAGGACCAGGGGGTTACAGTGGACAACAAGCTGGACGAGTGACAATGTGCCCTTGCTGCCAAGAACGTTAACAGCATCCTGGGCTGCATTAGTAGGAGCGCTGCCAGCAGATCAAGGAAAGCGATATTCCCCTCTATTCAGCACTGGTGAGGCCACATCTGGAGCACTGTGTCCAGTTTTGGGCCCCCTGCTGCAGAAAGGATATGGACAAATTGGAGAGTCCAGCAGAGGGCAGCAAAAATGGTTTGGGGGCTGGGGCACATGACTTGTGAGGAGAGGCTGAGGGAATTGGCTTATTTAGTCTGCAGAAAAGAAGACTGAGGGGGATTTCATGACAGCCTTTAACTACTTGAAGGTTGGTTCCAAAGAGGACGGAGCTGGACTGTTCTCAGTGGGGGCAGATGACAGGACAAGGAGAAATGGTCTCAAGTTGCAGCAAGGGAAGTTTAGGTTAGATATTAGGAAAAAACTATCTTCCTAGGAGGATGGTGAAGCACTGGAACAGGTTACCTACAGAGGTGGTGGAAGATCCGTCCCTGGAGGTTTTTAAGGCCCAACTCAACAAAGCGCTGGCTGGGATAATCTAGTTGGGGCTGGTCCTGCTTTGAGCAGGGGGTTGGACTAGATGTGACCTCCTGAGGTCCCTTCCAACTCTCACTTTCTATTATTCTAATTACAAAGAACTCAGAAAGACCATAGCAGATCAGAATGTATTTAATACTAAGGATTCCTGCTTGCAGTCTCTAGGTTTATGTCCTGAATCACATTTGCCCCCTTAACAGTGCTAATATTGCATGGCATGCCGCAACACCCTTGAAAGGATCTCAAGACACTGCAGGGTGCCATGGCCCCTAGTTGAAAAAAAAAAAAATCACTAAATGGTTTAGAGCTATTCTTAGCCTTGCCTTTTTATTACTAGTAAATGTTTCTCTTACAGTTGTGTACTGGGGCCTCATCACTCAGTCCTCTACACACACTAAGACATGGTTTCTTCCCTTAGAAAGTTTTCATGGCTACCAGCACTTACAGGCTTAATTGGGTTCAAAGACTGCGTGTTACCTTTAGTGCATTGCTGCACAATGATTGCAGTGGCGCCGAGAGAAGCAGTGTTGTTGCAAAGTACAGCACAGCTCACTTAGGTGAAGTTTCCCCTGCCCCTCACAGGCCCAGCAGTTTAGTCAGAAGTTGAAGCGACAGCCGCTACCACGGAGGTGGTAAAGCATGAGAAGACTGAGCACCTGATACCGGCCTGGTGCAGTTGGGCAGACCCTGGCCTTCAACTGACCGTGGCCATGAGGGTAAGCGGAAAGCAGAGCCACTGACATCTTCAGATCCTGACTGACCTTATCAACACTTCTCTGTTGCCCCTGACCCTGGTCATGGGATGGGAGAAGGGTAGGAGGTGAGGAAACAAGAAAAGGCAGAAAAGAGAGAAACAGGAAAGAGAAGGATTGGAGAAGACTGTTAGGACAATGGAGGGAGCAGAGGGGGAAATGGCAGCAGACACAGATGGGAACCTGAAGAACAAAGTCTTGAGAAGAGAAGGGGCAGAGATGTAGGAGCAGAAAAAGACCAAGGTGGCTGAACGTGGAAGGAGATGGAGGGAAGGAAATAGAAGAGGAGAGGGAGAATGGATGAAGGAGGGAAGGAGGAAGAGAAGGAGAGTGGAGGAGGAAAGCAAGCAAAGGGATGATAAGTGGTGGAAGAGGGAGAGGAGAGAGTGGAAGGGGCTGAGGAGACTGGAAGAGAGGGGAGAATGGAGGAAGACCAATAGATAGAGAGGGAGGATGTGTTAATGACTGAGGGATAGTGAGGTATAGCAGCAGAGACCAGAGGAGGGGAATGAGAAGCCTAATGGCAAGAACAGAAGAGGGAGAAGAGGAAAGAAAGGCTTACAGTGACCCATTACTAAGACTTTTACCTGAAAGTCTCAGCCCTTCATGGTGGGCATGCCTACATGAGACGCTTTACCGCACAGTTGACCAATTGACTGCACGGTAAAGTGTCACCATCTGCACGTGCTGATGCTCACTGTGCAGTCAATTAGTCCACTGTGGGGTTAATGTAAATGCAGGTAGCAAATTAACCGCGTGGTAGCGACTGCGCAGTAGCCCATGTATAGGTCAGCCAACTGGGAGCAAGTTTGTTCCCAGTCAGCCTGGGCAGAAGGGGGCAGGAGAACAATCCTGTCCCCCCCAGAGCTGTCTGGTGGGCTCCAAGTTCAGAGCCTGTGCCAGGACAATGTCCCCTGCCCTGGCAGCAGGCAGCTCCTGGCACCAACTCCACAATCGGAGCAGGGGCTAGGACACTGCTCCCTGCTCCTGGGAGCTGTCTGCTGCTAGGGTGGGCTCTGAATGCGGAGCCCAGCCAGGACAATGTCCCCCTGCCCAGCAGCAGGCAGTTCCTAGCCCTGGCTCCGCAATCAGATCTGGGAACCAATCAGCATGGGGACCAGCTCCCTCTCCACCCCCGCCCTCCTGTCCCAGCACTGGAGAGCTCCTGGCTTCCCACAGGAGTGGGGAGCTGAGCAGTGCCAGGACCGGGGAGCTACAGGTGAGGCAGCTACCAGCAAGCCCCTGGCTGTGCGAGGAATCCCTGCCAACCCGGGGGTGGCTGGGAGCTGTCTCAGCTGGGGGCTCACTGCTACCTACGTGGTGGGACAGCTCCTGGCCGCTCCCAGCTGACTCGCCACTAGCTTTCTCACCAGTGGGTCAGGGTATGGGGCTGGGACCTGCCCTTCCCTCACAGCTGCTTCCCAGCCCTGTGCCCCACCACATCGGGCGATCGGGGCAGGGGGCTGGGAAGAGTCCACTGACCCTGTATGTATTCCAGAGCAGGGGCTTATGCTTGATCTCCCTTTCAAGACACAGGTGTGGTTCCAGGGCAGGATTCACAGCTCAAGTTCCAGAGTCGATAGAAATGCTACCATAACCAGAGACACAGACCTTTCTCTAGCCGGGTCAGCCAAGTGCCTAAATCCCAACCTTTTCCAACCATTTCACTCTTGGTCAGCTCAAGCAGGTCCAAGAGTGGTTTCTGAAGATCCTTTTTCAAAGTGCCTGTCTTTGTGCAGGGGCTGGATAAGTGTACACTACTAATTTAACACAAGGCTTTCATGAACACATTGCACAGCCCGCTGCAGTAAAACCCAATGTTTTCTTACTGACCAAATCCAACATAGAACCATTTCATACTTAGCTAATATATTGGTCAATACAATTGTTCATATATACCTAATGTAATACATCACAACACACTTTTGTTTAATACACACTTATTTATGCCACTAGGAAGAACAAAAGACAAGTTGTAAACCAGACTAATGCTGATCCCCAGGCTATTCCACACCACATACATAAAGAGATAAAATAACGAGGTCACTGATTCTGTCAGCAACTCCCAATGATTAAAAACTTTCCACTGATAAAATTATTCCTTGTTGGTACCTTCTTATTACAGTAGTTTAAATAGAGAGCCAGCTGATTTCGTTTCCTTTCCTCTATTTCTTCACTTGACTGGCTGTCAACTTTGTCTTCAATCTTATGCAGCAGTGGCTCTGAAACACGCTCAAGCCATTTCTTGTATTGGATCTCCTTCTTCCTCAGATTTAAGAAGTCATTGTGATTCAAGTACCTGTCCACCTCCTAAGTGACACATGGAGAATATTGATGTAGTTAGACCTCTGAAGACAGAGACTTACAAAGGTTGTTAGAGTTTTCTACAAAAAGCAGTTCAAGAGCATAAGCCATGACCACTGAAACGCCCTCATCCCATCCCATCTGAACAGAAGGATTCAACAGAACGAAAGGACAGAAATGGGCAAGTAGGTGATCAAGCAGGAAGACCTACTATGAGTGATGGCCTTTAACTGGTTATATGGCTCTATTCAGGGTCCCCTCTGCAATGCATCCTCTCCTCAGGGGCCTGATAGTGGTGGCCTACCAGGAGGAACAGAGTATGTTGCCAAATGGGTCATGAATTACTAGCAAATACATCATGGAGCTCCCCACTACTAATCAGCAAACACATTTTAGTTTCTCTCTCAGTAGAATATGGCACATGGTGCAGGGGACAGCAAGGCAATGAGGGGTACGAGACTACATTAAAATCAATTAAAGGATTCCCTTGATTAATGAAGGACATTGTGGGAAAGGCAGGAAAATACGGGGGCAAATAAAAAGAGAGGGTAGCTGAGAGAGAGAGAGATGAGTAGGAATTTGGCCAGGTAATGTACCTGCTTTTTCGGTCTAATTAGAAAAGGAGAATTAAATGGAAGCTGCCTGAAGGGACAGGAGAATGAGAGCCAACTCTTTTGTGACCAGTAAGCTAAAGAGGCCTGCACCTGTGCGTGCACGTTGAAGGCAGACTGTTAAACCTGAGTTAACCCCACAGATTCTGGTGTGCCTTCAGAAGTCAGGCAATGGACAGTACTGTATTTCCTCATACTACACCCCTCCAAATAAAACATGCTCCTTGTTTCTGGAAGGCAGAACATAGAAAAAAAGATTTTTCCTAAGTCCTTGCTGACTATGTGACAGAGCAAGTCCTCCTGGAAACTGACTGTCCTGGAAGTGTGGTACACGAGGAGAGAATCTAGCTAAGGCAGCAGGACCTTCCTGCTGTGGCAGGACGGCAACAACGGTAGGCCCCAAACCCTTGCAAGGGCAGAAGCAAAACCGTTACTTCTTTACTGTTAAATAGTTATTCATATAAGTTCTGTAAATAATAAAGTGCTGCTTCCACACTACAAGCTGATACTGCAGACTGCATGCAGCAGCTCACTCACCCTCAGCCAGCTCAGTAGCTCTTTAGCCAAATCTAGTCTCTCACCAGTGGTGGAGAGAGAGTTGACATTGGACTCCCCCCTGCTGTTTGTAGATCTAGGGAGAAATGGCTGCCCTCTTGGTGACATGAGTGACAGTGTCTGCTTGCTCTATTCTACCCTGCTTCTATTTCAGTGAAGAAGAAAAAAAAAAAAATCAGCTTCCCCACTTAAAGCATGCGTCTCAATTTTGGAGGGCTGATTTTGGGAGAAAGGTGTATGTGTCAAGTGAATACAGTAATCTTGATTTTGGGAATAATCACGAGTGGTGGGAACTAGTCTGTAACCAGTAAGGTTAATACATGACCAAGATAACAGATAATCCTGTAGCAACAAAAACCAAACCTCAAATGAACACCAGGCAACACCAGCACTACACCCAGGAATACACAAAGGCTAATAATAGAGCTAAAATAAGTTTAATTACAAAGATACCACTGGTTACAGATGCCTTCTAATGAAGAACATAGGAATGCAGGAGTGGAAGGGACCATGTGAGCTGAATACAGGCCCAAACAACCATTTAGACAGTAAGTCCAAAAGCATTCACAAGAATATCTACTCTGGCTCCTCTGGGACTACATAAGCCACGAAGCCTGGATCCCAGACAAATCAGGATCTTTAGTATGACAAGCAAAAGGCCTCAAAGACTATGAGAAGAGAGCAGGAAAGCCTAAGACACTGCCAAGGCACAAGGATTCAACGAGGTATATGGGGCCTGCGTTATATCACAGGTTGTGCTCAGTTGCCAGTGGGTTTGCTCCAATTTATCCTAATACCGTGTTGTTCAAACTTTTGGCCCTGTGGGCCAGATGAGTGGCACAGGGCCAGTCCACAAGATGGATCAGGCCCGATGGGCCCCCATCACTGCCCCATGGGCCCCAGACTACCCCAGTGCTCCGTGCACATAATATAGCGCACAGAGCCACACCATCTGGCCTGTGAGACTTCCTGTAGGTCCAGAAATTGGCAGCAGGGAAGTGACAATTAACGCTGCAACTGCTACCCAGCTGCTGAATTTTCAGACCCAAGGAGAATCCCACAGGCTGGATGACATGGCTCTTGGCCCTACAGGCTGGATCTGGCCCACAGGCCAGGAGTCGAACACTCCTGCCCTAGTATATATTCAAGCATAATTTAGCCCAGAAGTCACATATTTTTAGGGAACTGACATTTTGCCATCAGCTAGTGATGGATAATGAACTTCTGACACCCTCAGGTCTTCTTCCCATGTAGTCATCACGATATGCTGCAAATGGAAAGCGTGTGCATTTCTTACCTTCACAAAATAATCTTCTTCATCTAAGATGGTCTTGGCAGAATCAGTAATGCCTTTGCTTTCACTAGATACCGCCTAAAAAATATCAACAAAATACCAGCCAAAACTGTGAAGTAAAAATATTGAATCAAAATAGCAATTAGAATGGCCTCCAAGTTAAAAATGCACAGTAAACAACAGGCAGGTCTACACTGCAATCAAAGCCACAGCTATCACGGATGAGTACACCCATGTTTGCTTTAATATAGGTAGTCTGGATATAAATAGCAGCGCAAGTACAGCAGCAAAGGCTTTTGTGTGTGCTGCACAAGCTTGCTGGGAGCTCTGATGACACTTGAGTTACTTGCCCCCCCCCAGAAGCCCATGCTAGCTTCACTATGTTTGTTGCCTATACTAGGTAAATTAAAGCATTCCTACCTGTGCTGTAATCACACCATCAACTACAGTGTAGGCATACCCTGAGTTAAGTGGAAGGGCTGACACCAGAGCTAGACATTATATTTAGATAGTCAAATTAAGTGTAGGAAAATGGACAAGGATAACAAAAACTATTGAAAAAAAGATAGTAGAAAAATAAGAAGGAGCATGTGAGAATTGCCAGCTGAGAAGAAAATCTTGTGGACTGGAAATGCAGCAGAGATTTAAAATCTGTCTCCTATCTCAGGTCATGAACCCACCTGTATTTTACACTCCAAATATTTGCACAAGCCAGGTTCTGTTCAGCCTTCCCAACACCCTCATCCCCCCACAATCCACAGCTTTGAAAATACAAATACAGAGAAGCGGTTCCCAAAAAGTTGTCACATACACCACACAGCAAAGTTAAAAGGAGTGGTAATTCTCAAACTGAGCTGAGGTTCTCAATCCATCTTGGAGTTCCTGGGGCCTAATCCCGTACACTGCTGCAGCAAGTACCCTTCTTAGCAGCATCAACACAAAGCCAAGGAATGAATGGGTAATCTCTCATAGACCAAGACATGGGCTCAATGAGAGTCTTTCTGACACTGTTCCACCAGCTCTGGCAGATAAACCAGGTATTTGTTCCTAGGGAATCAGTTTGGTGCCTTTTACAAGTTTAATTTTAAAAGGCTAAACAATTCTGAACATCATAGAAAAAATTCAACAACAAACTTTAAAATTCTACAATAAATATTTATACTGTTCAGAGCCAGACCCATAATGCAAAAGAGACACAGGGACCATAACTGCAGTAAGAAGGGAAGGCCTGGCCTACGTTTGACAGGTTGCCCCACTGGCTAAGCTAATTTAAAATCAGTTTAGTTTCATAAGTGCAAACTGTCGGTGTAGACAAGGTTCTTTGGGTGAATCTGATATCTTTTATTAAACCAACTTAAATAATTGGAAAAAAAATTTTTAGCAAGTTTTCGGGTTTAAAAACCCTTCATCAGGCTGAGGAAGCCTCCGCAGTTGGTGTGTCCTTCTGGATGGAATGAAAATAAAGAAGCCAGAGGCTGGGCTGGTATACATGCAAGACAGGCAGTCAAGTGAAGATGTAAATTGAGGGGTCAGCAGGTGAGAGACAGGCTGGGTGGGGGTGGAGAGAAAAGGGGGATCAATGTAGCAGTTAAATAGTGGAGAGGTACCTGGAGAGTCAGATGTCAGGCAGGATATGTGTCATAAATCCAATGTCTATATTTAGTCCATGATTTTTTGTATCCAGGAGGTTGATGAAGTCAAGTTCATAGGCTCATCTCTGAGAAGTGTTTTGTAAATTCCCGTTGAGGATTAGAACTGAGGGATTGGAGAGAGAGTGGTTTTCTTGTGAGCAATGTGCCCCCACAGGTAATTGGGTGTTCTTGTCTTTAATAGATTTCCGGTGTGCATTCATTCTGGTGCGCGGTTGTTGTTTGGTCACTCCTACGTATTTTCCATTAGAGCATTTGCTGCACTGCATGAGATGTATTACATTTCTGGAGGTGCAGCTGTAAGATGCAGGGATGCTGATGGCTCTGTTGTGGGATGTAGTAATCGTGGGGGTGGTGGAGATGCGTTGGCAGGTTTTGCATTTTTTGTCATGGCATGGTCTGGATCCATTTTTTTTAAACCCGAAAGCATCCTAAAAATTTTTTCCAACTATTTAAGTTGGTTTAATAAAAGATGCCAGATTCACCCAAAGAACCTTGTCTGCCTATGTCCTTAGACCAATACAGCTACAACCTACACCCCTGTAACTGCCAGTGTAGACATGCTGAAACTGGTTTAAACATTACTTTTACAAGCTTAATTTCAGTTTGTCATCAGTCCACATAAACTAAGCCAATAAAAACAAAGTTTAAACTAGTTTTAGTTCCTATGCAAGATGTTCCCAAAAGCCAGAATGGTATCTTCTTGCAAGAGTCTGTACAGTAGCAGCAGCAGCCCCACCACATTATTGCAGTAGTGGCCAGCAGCACGGACACCCTGCCACTGCTGTAGCAGCAACAGCAGTAATCTGCAGTGGGAAGACTGCACCACAGCAGCAGCAACCAGGGACATCGAGTCCCTGGGGCAGGTAAGATTGCCCCCACCAGAGCACACTAGCAGGGTTTTCCCTGAGGCGCAAAACTTGCTAGTTATTATTCTGCAGACAGATTATTTTTAAGATCTTATCTAAAATACTCAAAATGCAGAGAACTGCCTCACTGGGGCTTGAAACCCCAGCTGCAAGGAAGTTTGACATTTCAAAAAGATGCTCACAGTCTTAGTTACCTTTCCACTTCTCATTTTATATCTTTTTCTTCCCCTTCCCAAAGGTGCAGAGCAGTTTATGTTTTTTTGTACACTGTGTTTTGGAGTATAGTGGTTAAAAAAAAAAAAAAAAACCAACCCCAAAATGGCCAAATGCATTTTTTGTCTTACCTGCACAAGAGAAACATGCTTCTGTGTTAGCCAATCTCTGGTAGCTTTCTTCTTTCCAGAATCCAGAGGTGAGTAGGCCTTCTGCAAAGTTTAACAGAATGAAAATCATCTGCACAAAAAGTGGTCCTCTTTCACAAAATCCCATTGTTCTTCCCTCCATCCAGGTACCAAAAATCAAATTCCACTAGAAACCACACACACACACACTTCTTTTCTTACTTCTGCCTTACCAAAACATTATTCCAGTCATGGCTGAAACCTGATAGAAGGGAATCCTGACCACATGGTTGAATCCTGAACAGCGCTGTTCAGGCAAAAGCTATGGTCTGAACCTTCTTGCAGCTGTTGCAACAGCTGTTGACTGCTCAGCCAAAAGCTGCTGCGAATTCATGGGTGGTTGTGAGGGTTATAACTACTTTCAACACTGAACTGTATACTCCGTCTCTCCCACCCTGGCTGGGATAGGAGGACTGCCTGAGCAGCCATTACAACACAAAAAGTCACCTTTCCCACTAAAGACATGCACCCCAATTTTGGAGGGCTAATTTTTAGGGAAAAGGTGAATATGCTAGGTAAGTAAAGATGGTAGCATTACAGTACAATGAAGCACCAGCTTAGCACTGCTAAAGGGAATATTTTAGTGCAGGAGGTAAAGACTATCTCATTCAGCTGAAACACGGGCAAACTCAGTTGCACAGAACTTTAGTTGGTGTTTGGCAGAGCACCAAGTTGACACCCCATTCTTACAGAAATGTTCATGAGATCTTTACTGGCCTTATGCCTTACCCTGGACAGGGGAGGGAGTATATTTCCTGCCTCAAGTACATGCACTGCAGTGATACACTGCCACATGGGAAATGGATAGGGACGATAGCTTATTAATAAAGAAACTAGAAAAAGATAAGGCTATTAGGAAATCAACTGCTGTAGGTACTAGCCTTTCTCTCTAGCACTAAGAAAAATGAGAGTCTCAAGCTGCAAACTTTTGAAGACTGTAACTTTAGAGACACTGGATGCAATGCAGCCTTATTTCTTTGACGACTCCAAATGGAGCTGAGGGGAGGGACAAGCTGCAATCAGATCTGGACAGGTTACAGAGGTGAGCGGATGAGAATAGGATGGGTTTCAACACTGACAAGTGCAAGGTGCTGCACCTGGGGAGGAAGAACCAGCAGCATACCTACAGGCTGGGGAACTCCCTTCTCACCAGCACAGAGGCAGAAAAGGATCTTGGAGTCATTATTGACTCAAAGATGAACATGGGCCGCCAATGTGGGGATGCAGTCAGAAAGGCTAACCACACCTTGTCATGCATCCACAGATCCATCACGAGCAGGTCCAAGGTGATCTTCCCCCTCTATGCGACGCTGGTCAGGCTGCAATTGGAGTACTGCGTCCAGTTCTGGGCGCCGCACTTCAGGAGGGATGTGGATAGCATCAAGAGGGTCCAGAGGAGGGCCACTCGCATGATCAGGGAGCAGCAGGGCAGGTCCTATGAGGATAGGCTATGGGATCTGAACCTGTTCAGCCTCCATAAAAGAAGGCTGAGAGGGGATCTGGTGGCCATCTATAAACTGGCCAAGGGAGACCAGCAGGCAATGGGAGAGTCACTGTTCCCCCAAGCACTACCGGGAGTAACAAGGAACAACGGCTATAAGCTGACAGAGAGCAGATTCAGGCTGAATATCAGGAGGCACTACTTCACAGTCAGGGTGGTTAAGATCTGGAACCACTCGTTTCTGCCTGTGGTAGGGGGTCAGGCTAGATGATCTGTTCAGGTCCCTCCTGACCCTAGCTACTATGATACTATGAAACTGACAGAGAGCAGATTCATGCTAGACATCAGGCGGCACTACTTCACAGTCAGGGCGGCTAGGATCTGGAACCAACTTCCAAGGAAAGTGGTCCTCGCTCCTACCCTGGGGGTCTTGAAGAGGAGGCTAGATAGACACCTTGCTGGGGTCGTCTGACCCCAGCGCTCTTTCCTGTCTGTGATGGGGGGTCAGACTTGATGATCTGCTCAGGTCCCTTCCGACCCTACTAACTATGAAACTATCAGGGTGCTCAGCATTTTTGAAACTCAGGAAAATTAAGTAAGTATCAAAATATGGTACCTCATTCTCAGCAGCTACTTATTAATGTTCTGGCCTGGGGGCTACTATCCCAGTTAGTTCACGATGTCCATTCTCCCAGATACAGCACAAGATTAAACCACAGGGAACAGTTTCCATTATTTTGTCCCACTCACTTTAAGCTATCCAGACTACGAAGCTTCCTTTTCATCGCTTGGGGAACAAACTTGTCAGTCTCACACATCTATCTACTACACAACATTTCTGAGAGTTTACGTTTAATCTTGGCTCAGTCTGATCCCTCCTGCAGTCTGCCTGCATCTCCCGCAGCCAGAAAACAAGCTGCTAGCAGGTGGCACAGCCCCCGAGCTGCAGGGGACCCTGATGCTACCCTCTGCTGCAGCAACCCCCCCAAATGCCCGCAATGCCACTCTCACTCCAGCCTCTCTACACCTGTCTTGCAACCCTTTATCCCCACTCCAGGACACTCCTGATCCCTGCTCTCAGCCTGGCACTGGGGGCCGGGCTCAGCCAGCCAGATAACCCTAAACCTGCCCCCTCAGCCAATCACGGGGGTGGGAAAAACATTATGACAATAGCAGCCCCCACCACGATCAGGCCACAATATTCACAAGCCGGGCCCATGATTTAAACTAGGGTCTATGTATAGCACTCCCATAAAAGGTCTAAACTCTGGAACTTTCTTCCATGGGACCCAAACAGCCTGGATCTGCTGAGCACACTGTAGAGACAATGTCTCCTCCCTGACTTTTAGAAAGAGGGGAAATGTAGAGCAGGGCAGGGTAGGATTTTCCCGTTTTTGTTGCCAATTGTTGGTTAAGGATGAGCAATGAAATTAAGGGAGCTTTGCAATATGCTACTTGTATATGTAAGGAACATTAAACACACTCACAACTATGAAAATGCCCCCTAATTTCTGTGTGTAAATCTAGATAAAATGAAAAAGTGAGGACAGATGGATGAGGAGGATAAAGAACACAAATGTCAGAAATCAAGCAAGATGCTGCCCTTGGGTATTTCCTCTGCAAGAGAAAAATATCCTGTGTACCTGCAGGGGGGTCCATGGGTCCTGCCAAACATGTGAAGATTTTTTCCTGCTGCAAGTGCTTAGTTTTTGGTCCTTCTCATACACAGATGATGGGATTTCCTGGGACAAAGTTAAAATAAGGAAAACATCTGACTAGTATGTCATCTTAACTGGCAAAAAAAATAAAATAAATAACATTGATAAAAGGAAATCACTCTTCAATAAGAGGAACACATCAGAAAAAAACAGGGAAGATTTAAGAGTCAGCAGATGGGGTTTTCAACAAGCTACTTAGTTTCACATAGGTAATAAATAACACTCCCCACCCCACACCAACCAATGCTATCCAGTGATTAAACATTAAAGTACTGTAGGACTTTTACATATGGATCCCTTTAGACCAGTTTAAGTAACTGGACACCTAATCAACTAAGCTGTCTTCTTAGATATCTCAGGGGATTTCAACAAACTACTGTCAAACAGGTATGAAAATGAAGCTCCATCCCTGCCAAAGCCTCAGGTCACAAACCAAGCAATATCCAGTAACACGTACTCTGAAGTGACACCCAACCATAAGTTTCAAGGTTAGAGCTTTAACTGCACATTTCCTAAGGTCTGGGACAGAAGTTCAAAAAAAACCTGATTTTTTTTTTACCTAAATCAGTTAAGTCTGATATTACATTCGACCAGGTTTATCTTAAACCAGTTCTGGCCATTTTCAAAGCAGCTTCTGTGCACTGAACTTCTGTTTTGTTACAGGTTTAAACCAGTTTCTAATCACTTAAACCGGTTTATGTGTAACTTCTGTCCCTAGCCTAAGTGTGCATGTTTGTGCCACCTGTACAGAAAATGCAGCTGCCCACCTACATGCACATAATGTTGATGTTATTGTTCAGTGCATGAAGTTCAAGGGCAGGAACAACTGCTTGGTCATAGACCTGGGAGAGATAAGCGCAGACATACTGCTAAGAAGTGTCTTTCCATTACAATTAAGCATCCTGTTTCTACTACCCTCGTCCCATGGAAAGGTAGGCAGGCTCCAGTAAATACTACACAGGCATGGGCAGGACTTTTAACCCAGCAACTTTACACATGATTACACAGTCTCTCACTGAGTCAACCAACTACATAGATAAAGGAGTCATCCCATATAAAGTTGGGCATTTCACACGCCCCCTTTCCTTGTCAAGAGGTACAGGTGCTGAGCTGCTCACATGTTCTGGTACCTGCACATCCTGCTCATTGTCAGCCTCAGAAGAGTGACTTCTTAAGAGCCAGAAGTCATCCGAACTTCTCCTCCTTGCAAGTAGGGATTCTCTTGACTCGGACTAGAGAGAGGTTTGAAATACAAAAGTGTAAAGGATAAGAGTGCAGAATAAAAAGTTAGTTGTCAATTGCCAGACTTGCTATATCACTGAAATGCCTCAAGGGTTTCTAAATTGTGGAGACTAATTACTGCCAATGCAAATGAGATCATTAGTGCCAGAGGTATATTAAGCTGCTGTTTCTGTAACCAAGTGAGCCAATCAGGCCGAAAACCAGGTGAGTCAATTAGGCTGTGGTTTATCATGATGCTTGTCAGGCCACTGCCAGACCCTGAGATAGCATTGCCTGAATCAAATCCCCTGCTGTCCTTACAACTGCAGTGGGTAATCGACTTGACTCCTCCTGCATGGAAGCGTTCAGCTGCTGCGACTGATTCCCTTTGCTGCTGGCACCCTATATTAAAAGATAATTTCCTGTTTCTTTTAACTCCCTTAAATAAATCATAACATTTGTTTGCAAAGCACTTGTTTGCCCAAATCCACATGTGGTTTCTGCCCAAAGGTCAATGTGCATGGAAATTTTGGGAACAGTTTAACAATTCTAGTGATCAAGTGACAAAAGGCTTATCCCCTATAAAAGCCCAAGACTCCAGCCATGAGATGTGCTCAGAATAAAGCCTGTGGGGCACGTTTCTAACATTAAAGCATCTGGGCTCAGCTTAACCCTCAAGGAAACATTTCAAAGTTGACAGAGATGGTTAATCAGTTGCCTCCGGTGATCTCAGGATCTGAGGAGAGAGCCACTGTCTACCTGACAGAGCCCAGTGTAAAACATGAGATGCCTGGGGATCAAATGGGAGGACCACCAGACCAGCGCAAGCATCCTCCATGAAGCCGCGCCCACCAGCACTGAAGTCTTGCTCTTGAGAAATCAACTTCGATGGACGGGCCACTGCGTCCAGATGTCCAAGAACCACCTCCCTCGCCAGGTTCACTTCTCCCAGCTCTCTGTTGGCCAAGGCTCAAAGGGCGGCCAAAGGAAACGGTACAAAGGCACACTCAAGGTCGCCCTCAAGGCCAGAGGCATCGACACCAATAGCTGGCAGGAACAAGCTGATGACCATTTGGCATGGCGCCACCCGGTCCACCCAGGCACGCGCCACTTTGAGGCCCAACGACTCGATGCCGAGGTGGAACGGCGACGGCAGCAGAGGAAGGAGAAGACCAACCTGGGGCTGCAAATCCCACTCCCCCCCTGCGCAACCACATGCCCCCATTGCGGAAGAACGCGCGCATCCAGAATCGGGCTCCTCAGTCGCCTGAGGACCCATCGAGCCTGAGAGACGTCATCCTCGTCTTTGAGGGACCACTGCCGCCGACCTGACACAGCCCAGCGTAAAACGCGAGATGCCACATCCGGGCAGGATGCAGGCTCGTGTAGCCCAGGACCTCGTCGCTCACAGCAGCAGTTGTGATGCAAAGAGGAAGCAGCATTTAAGCAAGACGTGCAGAATGAGCCACCCCCGCCCCTCTCCAACAGCAAAACTCAACCAGGGGGGCCACAGCATCCTGCATGCCTTGTCACCCTTTTTAGGGATGCCACAAAATGGCACACTCACGGGCCAGGGGTCCCCGGCCTCCTCCATCGCCCCGCTTCGACCCGCGAGCCCCTCCCCCCACCCACCCCCGGGCGCCGCGGCCGC